TCCTTAACCCTGGACGCTGCTTGGAGCCCTGGCTGGAGGGCAGCACTAATGGAGGATCGGTGAGAGGCGGTTCTGGGTCCTCGGGAACCTCCAAGAGGCCAGGAGGGGACAAGAAGGCTTGTGGTGATCTTCGCGGCAGTGGCAGAAACAGATTCTGGGAGCTAAGGGTCACCCTCCACATAGACGTATCTTTTGGGGCTTGAGCTAAAGAACCCTTGGTGGCTGCTCCTCGCGCTGACCCCGGCGGATGGAGCGCTGCGCTCACCGGCCACACGGTGGCGCTGCAGGACAGCCTAACCGCCTCCGGCCGGCAGCGCACAAAAAATCCGCAGATCTGGGGAGTCCTCCAGATACCATGCCCCTGGTGTTGATGCCAGGGCTGGAGGGGACCCAGGGCATGCTAGTCGCCGGTGGGGACGGGGGTGCCACAAGGTCACCTGGACAGCTCACTCTCCCTCCCTCCTCAACATCTCGTCTTCCTGTCCTCCTTTCCCCTCTTTGGACCCCACCACTGGCATGGCCTCGAGTCTGCATAGGGGCAGGGCGATGGGACAGTGAGGGGCAGAGGGGACCACTGAAGGACAGAGCAGAATAGTGGGGACAGAGGGGGATAGTGAGGGGCAGTGGGGAGCAGTGAAGGGGAGAGAACCAGGGGGCTGTGGGAACAGTGAAGGACAGTGGCCAGTCCCTCCAGTGTCCACTGTCCCTGTCTCCCACAGATCTAGGGGAAGCGGTTGGGTGAAGCTGAAGGGGCAAGGAGGGCACCTCCCCTAGAGTCATGTCCACAGCCCCTCAGACTTCTGTTCCCCACATTGTGGAACTGCTTAAGGCGGCCCCTGGAGACTAGTTCAGGGTCTGTGAACCACATCTGGGGTGTCCAGAGGTGTGAGTGGAACCATCCCTGTCTCCTTCCTCAGGGCTGCTAGGATTTCAGGCACTTACCTCCTCACAGGGCTTGGCTGGGTTCCCATGAGCCAGCTCTAGAAGGTCCTACTGACCAGACCTTGCTGTGTGGACCCCTGAGCTCTGGGATGGATGGGGTGGGGTGAGGAGAGCTGGGGTCCCTGGGTCCTGGTCCAATTTGAGGACATAAAGCCCCTGGGCATGGCAGACACTGGTGCCCCAGCAAACCTGGCCACGGGCATGTCTGTAAGTTGGTTATCTTTGGGACCCCCGGCAGGCGCTCTTCCCTGACCTCAGCCATGATGTCTGCAGTCACTAGAGGGTGAGGGACTCCTGGACCCTTTCCAAAGGCTCCCAGCTCCTCCCTCCAGGCCCTGGGTCTCACCCCCTTATTGTCCTCTGGGAGAAGACAGCCGGCCTGGTTTCCCACTCAGCTGCAGGTCACTACTGTAAGAAAGGGAGCTCGTAGAAGACCGAGAAAGCCACTGAGATCAGCCCCCACTTCCCTCCTGGTCTTGGGGGAGTGGTCTAGGGCCACTCTGTCCCCTCTAATTCTACCCAGAGCCGGAGGCAGGGTCTGCCTGCAGCTGAGTAGGAAAGGTGACCCCCCCCCCCCCCCCCCCACTGAGAGTCTGGTGTACAGGTGGAAAAGCTGGGGTCACCTCAGTTCAGGGACAGTGGTGCTGTCTGGTCTCTGGGCACACAGCGAGGGGCTGCCTCTGAAACAGCAGGTGGGGGCCCTAGACACATACTTGAAAGACCTGAGACCATCCCTGCATTTGCTGGGTTGTATGAGGGACGGGCAAGGAGCTCTGGTAGCGTAGTGGTTACGAATCGGGCTGCGAACCTTAAGGTCAGCGGTTCGAAACTACCAGCCGCTCCGCGGGAGAAAGATGAG